TATATATATATATATAAGGCATCTTATATTGAAATGCATAGGAAATCTTCCTTCTAACAGTCATATTCAAGAAGATAATAAAAAAAAAATAATAATAGTAGTAAATACCAATTTGACTAAAAAATATATAAACTCCAGTTTTTTTCAAAGGTCGAACTCCCGCGTTTTCCCAGGAAAGTTTGCTTTAGAAATTACACGTAAATTAAAGCCAACTGGAGACCAAGTCATAACCCCTCTCCTACTATAAAATACTCCGGAGCTCCACCCTCTCCTCTCCATTACTCATCAACTCAGCTAAATTATAAGCCCTCACATATACTCTCTCTCTCTCTCTCTCTATCTCTCTCTCTCTCTCCAAGAACCTACCAATCAATATATTAGTTTGTAAGCAGTAAAGTTGGCAATTCTCATGGCTTCTACAAAAAGAAATTTCGGCATTTCGATATGGTCAGTTTTGATTGCATGGTTGCTCTTGGCAAGTTGTGTTCTACGGGTATTGCCGATGGCGGAGGCGGCGAGAGTGTTGGAAGAAGAGCGAATCATCATCACAACTAAGACGGGATTAGTATTCGAGTCAAAGTCGAAGGGGGGACCGGGGTCGGATCCTTCGAATTGTCATCATGGATCTGGAGGTGGCAGTGGATATTGCCCACCATAAGAAAATAAAAAAAGTTTATGGGGACATTATGTAAATACTAAAAATTTGTGAGGTATTCATGTAAATGCCCTAGATAGAAATAAGCTCGGGTTTATAGCATTGTGTTTAGGTGATGCACCATCAATTAATTCATAATGTACAAAAGTTGCTTTCTATTCTTTTGTTGAATATTATTGATAATAAATGATATAAGTTAATTTGCTAAGATACCTTTATTAATATGATGGTTGGGCGAATAATTTTGATGCTCAAAAGTTTATTGTTATATATATATATATATATATATATATATGAAATAATTGTTTAGTTGAAGGTGATATTGATTAAAAAAATGCAAATATTTTTAAAATTAAATTAAATCATTAAGATTGATTAAGGAGATAAAGAAAGCAACAATTTTTAAAGGGTGTGTATTCCGGCACGTGTGTGTATGTATGTATCTAGGTAGTTATGTATGTATGTATGCACATTCTGAAAGCTAAATTTGATACCCGGCGTATTCCTGGGGCTGCGAATTCGAGAATGTCTGAAAAGGTTAGGAAAAATTTATAACGTGGAAAATTTATATAAATACAACTCAATTCCTATGTATTTACAGATATAATACCTAAACTTCAATTGTTACGTGCATGCCATCTTATTTGTACATTCTTGCCGCCCTGCAAAAGAATGATTTCAATTTTTACACATGTATCTATGTTATCTCATAAAAGTATATTTCTTTTTTTGTAAATTTAAATAATGGTGCGTTTGATGTTATACGAAAGATTTAGTGACTGTTTGGGGGCGCTTACTTCGTGAGGGGGCGTTATGAAAACACCGCCTACACGTTTGTTTAACGCGTTCAAGCGACATTTTGTAACGCCGTCGTTCGAGTATATAGTATATGCGGCCGCGGGATTGATCCCGCGGCCCGCTTTCTTTCGCTGTGTTTTACCTGGCTGCCATTTCTCTCTTCTACCCTAACGTGATACTGAATCCCTCGAGCTCTCGTGCTTGATTCGACTCTTCACTGCACCTTCACCTCGCATCTGCCCTAAAATTCCTCCCTATCCTCTCATAACGGTCAATCTTTAAGTATTTGCATGGAATGATTTTCTTTAGTTGGTTCTTCTGCA